CGGCCCACCTTAGAGCTATTTTTGAGAGTCTTCTCTTCTGTTCCATAATTGGGAGGTGGTAATGACCAATTTAGCTAAGCTAAGCACAATTAAGGAGTGCTGCATTAAGAGTGGTATTCCCTTTGAGTGACAATTTGGGGAAGTAAAAGCTTAGTAGTTAGAGGCCTTGAATGTTAAGGTAAAAAACAAAGATACTTGCATAATAATTAAATTATGTTTTAGAGGATACATAACACCTTATGGCATGCTAAACTTTCTTTCTGAAATTATTACCACGTATTATGCTGATGATGTATTCATTTAACAAACATTTCTTGAGGCCCTAGGATGTGACAGGCTCTGTTCCAGGTGTTGAGGATATACCAATGGACCAAATAGTAAAAAATCCCTATTCTCTTGGGGCTTCTGTTAAAGGGGCGGGAGACAGTAAATAAGATAAGTAAGTACAATGTAAGGAGTGGTAATAATAAGTGTTAAGGAAATTCTGTTTACTTCATTCCCTCCCCACATCATAAACCCTTCTTCTGGGCCCTGGGGCCTCCACCCAGTGGTTGCAGAACAAGAGTGAAGAGGAGGCCCTGCCTGACCTCAGGCCCTTTTATGAGAATAACAGTGGCAGTTTCCTTCAGCACAGTGGGCCCAGGATGTAGATCCTGTCACGGGATGGAGGCTGTACTGCCACCTGCCTCCCGCTGCTCACCGTACTTTTGCTTGAGGAACAGTGATGACCCACAGCACTGCAGCTCCCCATTGGCCATGATGGCAATGCGGTCCCCCAGCAGGTCAGCCTCCTCCATGAAGTGGGTGGTCAGTAGGATGGTGCGGTCACTTTTCTGCTGCTGAAGAAGGTCCCAAATGGCTCTCCTAGAGATGGCATCCATGCCTGAGGTGGGCTCATCCAGTATCAACACCTGGAGGGCAGAGGCACAACCTCATGACAATGGCAGAGCCATGGCCCGGGCCCACTCAGTCTGCCTGTCCACAGCATGAAGGGCTGAGGTGCCTGGGCCACAGTCAAAGGGCCAGCAGCCAGCCCAGGCCAAGCAGGACCTTGAGCTGGAGGCCCCTGGGACCCACCAGCCCTGGTACCTTGGAGCCTGCTATGAGGGCGATGCCAATGGAGAGCTTGCGCTTCATCCCCCCACTCAGGAACCTGCTCCGGGAGGCCCACTTGTCCTCCAGATCGAGGATGTGCAGCATCTTCTTGACTTCTTCAGAGCACTTCTGGTGTGATAAGCCTTTCAGCTGAAACAACAGGGATGAAAGGCTGACCCTGTCCTGGGAACATATTGCTTGTATATACATAAATACACACAAGAAAGATATGAAAGAAACTTATTACCTTGCAGAAAGGGAAAGACAAAAGGCTTCTCCATTTGAACCATGTAAATAAATATATGACTTAAGGAAAAGTAAGTATAGCAGCATGTTGAAAGTATTGTATATCGTGACCAAGCAAGATATAGCCCAGAAATGCAAGGTAGTTAGGCATATGAAAAATCAATGTAAATGTTTTATAACAAAGAATTTGGTGGGCCTTTATCCCTGGTTCCTGGGAAGAAGGCTCTAAATCTGTGTGTCACAATCCACAGGAACTGTATTAAAGGGCCACAGCATTAAGAAGGTTAAGAACCACTGCTCTAAACCTTGGAACTTCCTGTATGGGTATCTTTGGTACTCATGGTACCCATAGGTCATGCCAAAAAGACCAACCATGTGATTAAATGGCTGGGGCTTTGATCCATGTAATATCTGCCTGACCTCCTGTCTACCTGGAAGAGGAAGGGGCTAGAGACTGAGTTTAGTCATGTGGCCAATGATGCATTTATTCATGCCTAAATAAAAAAACCCCAGCAAAAACTCTGGACACTCGAAGCTTAGGTAAGCCACCCTGATAGACATCTATGTCCCCAGAAAGTAATATATCCTGAGGACACAGAGTTTTGCATTTTGAGACTTTCTCTGACCTTGTTTCACATGGCTCTTCTTTTGCCTGGTACTGAGTTGTATCCTCTATAACAAAACTATAATAAGTGTCACACTCTCTTGAGTTCTGTCAGTTATTCTAGTGAATTACCCAACCTATAGTGTTAGCTACTTGGGAGGCTGCTACAGGAAGATTGCCTGAGCCCCAGAGTTCACAGTTACAGTGAGCTAAGATCATGCCACTATCCTCCAGCATGGGTAACAGAGTAAGATCCTGTCTTAAATGAATAAATAATATATAACAATAAATTTAACCAAAGAAATGCAAGAAATTCTAGTACATTGAAAATTATGAAACATTATTGAAAGTAATTTAAAAAGACCTAAATAAATGGAAGTACTTTTCATGTTTATAGATTGAAATTTTTTTTTTTTTAGCAACAGAGTCACTTTGTCACCCTCAGTAGAGTGCAGTGGTATCACAGCACACAGCAACCTCCAGCTCTTAGGTTTAGGCAATTCCCTTGCCTCAGCCTCCCAAGTAGCTAGGACCACAGGTACCCGCCAACGCCCGGCTATTTTTTTGTTGCAATTTGGCCGGGGCTGGGTTTGAACCTGCCACCCTTGGTATATGGGGTCGGCGCCCTACTCACTGAGCCACAGGTGCCACCAGAAACCTCCCAAGTAGATGGGACAACAGGAGCCCGCCACAATGCCCAGCTATTTTTTGTTGCAGTTGTCATTGTTGTTTTAGCTGGCCTGGGCTGGGTTCAAACCTGCCAACTTCCTTGTATGTGGCTGGCACTGAAACCACTGTACTGCGGGCACCGAGTCTATAGACTAAAACTTTTAATACTATCGAGATGACAATAATACCCAAAGTAATCTAGAGATTCAATGCAATCCCTATAAAAATTCCAATAGCCTTTTTCACTTTTTTTTTTTTGAGACAGAGTCTCACTTTATCGCCCTTGTTAGAGTGCTGTGGTGTCACAGCTCACAGCCACCTCCAATTCCTGGCCTTAGGCAATTCTCTTGCCTCAGCCTCCCAAGTACCTAAGACTATAGGCACCTGCCACAAGGTCTGGCTATTTTTTTTGTTTTGTAGTTTGGCCAGGGCTGAGTTTGAACCTGCTACTCTCAGTATATGGGGACGGCGCCCTACCCACTGCGCCACAGGTGCTGCCGAGCCTTTTTCACTTTTTTCAGGGCAAGTTGATCCTAAAATTCATATAGAAATGCTAGAGAAGGCTGAGCACAGTGGCTCACACTTATAATCTTAGGACTCTGGGAGGCCAAGGTGGGTAGATTGCCTGAGCTCATAGGTTTGAGACCAGCCTGACCAAGAGCAAGACCTTGTCTCTAAAAATAGCCAGGCATTGTGGCGGGTGCCTATAGTCCCAGCTACTTGGGAGGCTGAAGCAAGAGAATTGCTTGAGCCCAAGAGTTGGAGGTTGCTGTGAGTTATGACACCACTGCACTCTACCAAGGGCAACAAAGTAATACTCTGTGT